TGAACTTAAACTAGGTAGTTGTTAATGATGTGTCTGCCCAATTAATATAATTGGAGAGAACTAGTCCTAAACATCCAGATATGGAGACAAAAGGATAAAGTTAAATTCTTACTTACATTACCTTGTATTCTTTGAAAAGTGATCACCAGTGCTCTTATGCTATCCTAACTCTCTGGATGTCCATTGGTACCAAACTCAACAAATCTCTCCTACTTCAATTAGCTGCCTTTCCCCCTCTTTCTTTATTCCTGTTAATGGGTCCACCGTCGTTCCAGTTACCTAGATTGGTAACTGTATGATCGTTCTAGACTCATCTTCCCCCTTCTGCCCCCATAACCAAACCAGACCAGGCCTTATGGGTCCTACCTTCATAGTAGCTCTCAAATCTGGACCCACACAGATGTCATTGCATTTCAGGCTCTAAGCAGTTGTTGCTGGATGATTGTAATAAACTCCTAACTGAATTCCAACTTCTAGTCTCTTCCCTTTCCATTCCGTCTTCTACACCAATAGAATCAAACAGAATGGTCCCTGCAGGCCATATATTGACTTAGAAAAACCACAAATTAACATTATTTTATGTTGTATTATATAATTTTTATTTTGTTACGTTTCCCAACTACATTTTAACCTGGTTCTTGCCCACCCTCTGGAGTTTGATACTTTTGCTCTATACAACTAGCAGCTTCTCTAGGAATAGGTTTGATCTCAATAACCTTCACTGCTTCATTCCCTCTTGTATTTTATTCTTGAGGCAAATTCTTTAGTCTGGCATCTTAAAGCCCCACCACAATCTGGTACCAACCATTGTTTTCTCAACTATATTCCCCCATCCCTATTTTTTTTTCAGTATAAAGCAATTTTATTTACAGGAATACAGAATGTTTTTGCCATGAGCATTTTGAATATATGGCATGTCTAAATTTTCTTTTTAAATTTGCATTTATTAGGAACTGGTATGTATAAAACCTTAAGTATAAACTCTGATGTTCGTTGTGGTGCTTATTGAGTGTATGGTATAATTGTAGTATCCTTTTGGGGGAAGGGAGAAGGGAAGCTTTTTATAGCAAGTCCTAATTAAAATATAATTTCATTTTTATCTTTAGCTAGATGAGAGCAAGGTTTTGTTCCTTTTGAGGGTGAGTCAATAGAGGATGCTTTACCACCAAACATTCACTGTCATCAAGGTGCTTTAGAAAATTAAGAACAGCACAAATGATTGTACTCTACTATACAGGTTATCATGATCTTCCTAAGAAGTGGAAAGCTAATTTATGTTTGTAAAGCGAGAAGTGATTAAAAAATACACTAATAAAAACATATGTTTTACCTAAAAAACTGAAGTATGGCCATATATTCTTTTCTTTAATTTATGAAAAACTTTAAAATATTCTAATGTTAGGCTTTATTGTGCAACTGTCAGCTTTGGTTTGACTTTTTATAGAGGGACACAGCAGTATTTAGTACAAGTTGTGTATGCATTTTTTTGAATATGTGATATCTTAGAAAGTAAAATCTTGTGAAACTATTATGTATCCAGATAGCTACAATATCTAAAGAAGTGAGACTGCTTTTTAAATCACAAAATACAACAAAAGCAAGGCCTATTATAATGGTCGAGAGGAACTCTTATAAGCGTCTGAAACTAAAGGCATCTAAATATATTACATTTGACATATTACAATCTTGCCTTCATATCATAACAACAAGCTTTTTAACTGCAAAGATTTTTCATCTACAGTATATACAAGGTACAATTTTGTTCTCCACCGAGATAGTTAAGCAACCTTTTAAAACTTGTTCTGAAAAGAACCACTCTCTGAAATGCCTGCCCAACCAGCTCTGCTTATTACACGTGAGATGCCTTTTCCAGAACATGATTTAAAAGTGAATAAACCCTTTTTTCCCCCTCTGGCTCTCAGAAGCCTAGCTTTCTTCAAGGGGGAGCTCAAGTGCCACTTCTTCGAAGCCATTCCTGATTACTTCTCAGGCTCAATGTTTTCTCCTTCAAATTTGAGCTTACTTATTTACATGATAAGTAGAATGTAATATAAGCCCCTTCAAAATAGGAAATATTCAGTTGTTTTTGTATCCCAGGACCCTGCAATGTATCTTGTATATGAGTGGGATTGAGACCACTTACTCAAATAAAAACTCAGAGGTATCTCCAGGTAGAAAACAGAAGGTTTTATTCTAGCAAGTCTTGCGCAAGAGTTGGGCATCTCCTACCCAGGGCAGACTGGTATAGAGAGGTGAAGCACAAACAACAGCAAGCAGTATATATAGTCTTAGACAAACCACTCCAAAAAGCCCTCCTCTCAATCTCTTTATCCTCATTGGCTGAGGCAAGAGACCTCACACTATGTTTAGAACCCAAGAGATACATTTTACTCAAAACGGGCTTGGGAGCTAGAAGATTGCCTTATTTGGTAAAGTTAAGGTACAAAACAAAAGAGGGGGTGGTTACAAAACAAGGGAGGGAGTGGGCAGCTGGTGCACAGCCCCCATTCCCCAAAAATGAAAGCTAAACCTAGGCCCAGCGCATGCTGAAGCCTCACTACATTTTGGAGCATAGCTTACGCATGAGAAACTTTCACTTGTCCCACACATATATGACACAACTTAGTGTGTGTTGAATTGAACTGAATTGTTCTCCTAATGACTCCTCCCTTTATAATGCACAGTGTATTCTGATGCTTCAGAACTCCTTACTTTATCAGGCTTTCAGATTGTTTTCTTTATTATGTGATGTTTTATTCCACATTTCCATATCCAGTGATATTCCTTTAATATATTAATTCCAAATTGATCAGATTATTGCTGATTATATTTCAGTCTTTAAAAAGAGTAGGTAATCTGAAAACTAAAGCAACAGGAAAGGGAGTGAGTTCTCTTGATTGCTTCTCTTACTGGTGTGACTATGGTTATTATTGTCTGTGTTTTCCATTTACTATCTCAGAAGCTTTGAAGTACCTTTTGAGATTCTCTTTTTTTTAAGCTTTGACTTTACTTAAAAAATATGAAACATAAAACATAACTTTAAAATGTGAAACAGATATATGAGCAGCTTTGCCTGATTCCTTCCTATAAATAAAGTCCAGTCCTAGTCCAAAACTGTCCTCAGACTTCATTCCTACACCCTGGCTTCTCAGAGCTCCCCTCAAGGTTAGTTGGCTACAACATCTTGTTTGGAATCCTGGTTCCAAGCTTACTATGGATCCAATTTCCATGTTGGCCATCTGGTGAAAGGGGACATATTAGGAGATTTAGGGGAGCAGGATGTATCCATATTAGGCCATCTGAGCATGCTCCAAAGACCCCATTGCACATTTCCCCTGTTTCAAAGTTGGTGTCCCTAGCAAATGCGCATTAAGGCATTTTTCAGTTAACGCAGTCCTTGAACCAAATTAAGGAGAGTCTCCTCGTGGTCTCTGGGAAAGCATAAGCAATATCTATTCACTTGCTTCCCCAGTGTCATATACTTAAGTTTCAAAATAGTCGATGTTGTATGATCATTTAATCAATCCCACATATGCAAATAGAAATCATAATTATCCCCCAATACACAGTTTTGCAGATTCTTATGACAAGGAATATTTTCCAAAGTTTGCATAGCCTTAGATGTGCAGGGCCTTTCTTAACCTACAAATGAAAGAGCAAAAACAGGCAAAGAAAACTGATTTCTCATCTTGTGGGGAAACCTGGTTCACATTGAGCTTTCCAGATTACTTGGAGCTCTACCCTTAGGGATTTAGGACCTGCAGTCAACTAGGGTTTACCTCTTTCTCAGATGAGAAAATTGTGCTAGGTGGAAACTCTTCCATGATTCATTGTATAATGGCATTCAACTGGAGTTTAGACAAAAAAAAATGTACTTTTATATACAGAGTACACCCAAATTCTCTAGGGGTCCCTCTGTACCCATAGAAGTCCAGGCAATTTCTTTTGGGTCCTTATTTTCCTAAAATAATGCCCTAAATTCCTCCCTTGTCTACCCCCTTCCCCCTATGTATCCATACCACTGCTAGGTTAAGCAAAATGGAATCGCAAAATCATCAATCAGAACAAGAAGACATGTAGGTTCAATTAGAGAAGTAGCAAAGAAAGTGAGCTGCTTATGGATTTTAGATACAGGTATCTCATCCTAAGAGGTTGTAGGGCATTTTGCTTTCATAAAAGGCAAGTAGTCTAGGTTGGTTTAAATGCCAAAAGAACAATATGAACATTTCTACTAGACAGTAGCAACTTAGTGATGTTCACATAACATTTAATATTAATACTTACATATAGAATTCAGTAATACCGAATGTATCAGTGTATCAATATTTATATAAAGAATTCAATAATATGAAAAGCATCAATACTTAATCAACGCATGAAAAGTTTGCAAAATCACACTAATGCAACTCACTTGTGGTGTTCCCTCAAGTGTAACAGGGGCTTACCGGCATCCCACTTCCATTAACCACTAGCTTTTAAAGATTAAGGATTTAAAGGATTAGCTTTCAAAAAGAAATATTTACTCCCAAGGTACAAATATACAAACAGTTTAGCTTGGTTCCTATAGAATGCAGTCCCAGTTCTAAATCCAAAACCCACTTTGAGCTCAAGTCCCAGGACACCCTGGCTTCTCAGGGCTTTCCTGCTGGGCTGGCTGACTGCAACATTCTACCTAGAATCCTGGCTGGAAGGTCACCATAGTTCCAAGTGTCTTGTAAGGTTGGGGTCACCACTGGCATCTGAAATTGAGAAGAACAATAAAAAAAAATGCAATGCAACAGTACAAACACCCAGAGCCATGGAGGGGGAAGAGGAAAGATACCTTCTCTCTCCTTCTCTCCCCCAACTCCCATCCTTCCTCAGTTCATTTCACAGTTCCCATGTGGTAGCTGAACTGAAATCTTCACTCTCTGGACACAGCAGGAAAGAGCCCTTTTGAGATTCTTAAATTACAGTTCTGCTAAAATGTTTACTAAACTTTTTTTTAAAATCTTTTTTAGTTCTATTAATAAAAGGAAGACAATGCCCAAAATTGTTTACAACTTACTCTCTGACCGGGACTTAAGGAAAAAGCTCAAGGAATACGGACTCTCTAGTCAAGGGAACAAACAGCAGCTTATTAGACGGCATCAAGAATTTGTGCACATGTACAATGCCCAGTGTGATTCTTTACATCCCAAGTCAGGTATGATTGCAAATATATTGCTTTTAGATTGAAGTTGTGTTTGCCAGAGGTGGAGAAACACAACCTGAGTCTATCAAGTTCCCAACAGATTTTTCAAAATAGTTTGTTTACTGCCTTTCGTTTCCTCGAGATCAGTCGGTTCATTTGGCTGAATATTAAAAGGTTGCGCAAATGCCATGTTGGGATTGAGATGACAGTCCAAAATAGAGCAACTTCACTTTGTCTTTCTTTACTTTTTCATTCTCTTTATCATGCCTTTCATTCATTGCCTGCTTGTCCTGGAGCCTAAGGGAAAAGTTTGTCAAAATGATAGATCCAAATAAAATACGAAAAATAGATTAAAAATAAATTTAGGCCAAACTTGAGAGCTGTTAAAAATTCAGATTTGTATTTCTAAACAGAGGCTCAGTTAACTCATTAAAGCATGATTTGACAGAAAGTGTCCCCCTATCTCTTTGAACCCATCATTGTAGAAAAGATGGACTAAATAAGTCAGTTTATCTTTTAAGAGGTTAACCCGAATCCTATGCCAAACAGTCCAAATATAACATTTTAGTTACCATACAGATAAATTTTTTATGATAGACCAAAGAGATGTGATGTAATTACAATACGGCAGCATTGTTGTTTTCTCATGTAATGATTTTTCTTTTTATGCATATAGTATGTGCATAATTATACATATGACATAATATAACAGGTACACTTATTGTACACCTTATTGTGGTTCTCTTCCAGAAAACTCACTAAAACCAACTATGAGGTTCTATTCATACTAATTAGTGTGAATAAGCCATCCCATGGAGTGGTAGCATTATTCAGATTTGCCCTGCATGTTTTCATTGGGCTGGAAGCAGTGATCATATTTTACATAATGAGAACTTCAAACAGTGCCAGTTGGAATACATTGACCTCTTCCTGGGATTTATTTTTCATACTCTTCAGGATCTACTTTTTTTTTTTAGCTAATTGGGGTTAAGTGACTTGCCCAGGGTCACACAGCTAGTAAGTGTCAAGTGTGAGGTCGGATTTGAACTCAGGACCTCCTGCCTTCAGGGCCGGTGCTCTATTCATTGTGCCACCTCACTGCCCCAGAATCTACTTTTCTCTAGTTAAATAAGAAAACACTGAAATGGAATCTGCACTCATTTATTTCCACTTGTAATTATCCACAAAGTATAATGTGGGGCTTGATTGCTGAGATTATCCTCGTTTTTCATATCTCTTCACTGACACAGTAGTCAAAAGAATTTGGGGACAATTGCCAACCAATGGATAAGACTCTTGGTGAAGAATTAGAAACTATTTTCAATATTACTTAAAACTATCTTGAACTTAAAAGTATCTATAGATTGTAGTTATAATGTAATTTAAAGACTGATATCTTTGAAAATTGTTCTGTTTGAAAACTTCTCTTACAAAACTGTGAAAAATATGTTGGAATAGTTGTATATCCTACATGTAGAAAAGAAGTAGAGTTTAGCGTAAAGATTTCTTCCCTATAAACTTTGACCTTCTAAATTTGCTGAAGTTTAATAACAAATCACTTTTAGTTTTATTTTCAGCTTTCAAACTTGACATTGGGTGAGAGTAAACCATGTCTTTGATGCTTCCAACTTAAAGTCCTAGAATTTATTTTTTCAGAGTTTCTAAAGTGAGGAAGGCAGGGAGCTGGACCACTGATAATTTTGATTTGTCTCATGTTACTATCCACTTCACAAAAAAAAACTTGACTGACTGTCCTTTGCTAATAGAATACAGTGCAGACTCCTTACCTAGGTGCTCATTTTTCTTTACAGTGTGTTCCCAACGTACATTTCCGGATGTCATCTTCAGTTATTTACTGTCAAGTATTTTCTGTTCTAACCAGACTGGTCTACTTACTCTCCCAAATATTTCTTGTGTATTTCTGTCTACATTTTTCCTCATGATATTACCCTTTCCTGGAATATATCTGTCTTCACCTAAGCTCTACCTATTCTTACAACCTCATTTCAAATCTCAAAATCTCCATGGAGCCTTTCCTGGTCAGTCTAACTCAGAATTAGTTAGAACTTATTGTTTGTTACCATTCGTTTGGGACTTATTGCCTCCCATTATCTTTTTATGTATACATACTTTTCTTGTCTCCCTAGGTAGAGTGTAAAGTCCTTGAGAGTAGGAACTTGGTCTCTGATACTCTGTTGTCTCCCCCACACAGCCTAGTACAGTGCCTTACATGTGATAAATGCTTAATAAGTATCTGTGGATGAATTTGGCATCTTGATTCTGAGAATATCCTCATTTCCATCTGGAATCAGAGTGCCAAGGAGGTTGGGATGGCAGACAAATGGGGAATGGTGAAGAACATAGTAGGTTGGCTGTCATCTCAATATGGAAGATTAGCAATGGGATAAAATATGATGAGGCAAGTGGCCAGTTAACCTTTTCAGAATTCTGCCAGAGACCCATCTAGCCTTGTGGAGTGTAAGTCCCAATCATTTGTTGAATTAAAATAAATCATTATGGTCATATCTTCAAGTTAACTAAAAGGATAAATATACGATGCTATGCTTTGGTCTCCGAATAGCTGGATTCAAACTGTAATTAAAGTTGTATCTGATATTAACTATTTTGATGGTCTTAGCTTAGTTTTCAGGGATTGTTTCATGATCTTAGTTTAGTTTTCAGAGATTGTCTGTTCGTCTTCTAAGACTCCATAAACAGTATAATAGGAAGACTTTTAGGAGAGGTTAGGAATATGACTTTTCAATTTTTAGATTACATATGTCAACAGAATCACCAGTGTCACAACTTTATGTATTTATTTTAACAGTTGCTGAAATAGTTAAAGAAGTTGAAAATATGGAGAAGACTCGAGTACGTCTTGAATCAAATACACTGAATGAAAATGTAAGTTTATAGAGTCTGTTTCAGTAACTTTCAGGAAGGAAGTCTAAAATTGTTACTAAAAAATAGAAAAACATAATGAAATTGTTTCAATAAGAAACATACTGAGACACATTTCAGCATAATGTATTGTGTTCTTGCATTGTGGATATTAACTTGGGATGGAGTCCAAAGCAGGGCCACTTATTAACTTTTGTTTAGAGTGTATCATCAATGTCAAGTATGGTGGAAAGAGCACTGGATTGGTAGTTAGAAACCATGGAGTCTAGTCTTGGCTATGGCATCAGGCAGTTAATCATGTTATTTTGGTTAGGGACTCTAGACCTCAGTTTCCCCATCTGTAAGATGGGTTTGGACCAGTGAATGGCTCAGGTTTCTTTTAGCTCTAAAACTTAAGATTTTATGACCCTTGAAAAGGCAATGTGTTAAAGAAGAAGGAGCACTGTCTTTGAAATCAGAACCTTGTTTTGAGGCCCTGGCTCTGCCATTTTCTAGTCCTGTGACCTTGAGCAAGTCACTCAACCTCTCTGTGTCTTAGTTTCATCATCTGTAAAAGGAGATAATAGCATCTCTAGTGTCCAACTCACAGGATTGTTCTGAGGATCAAGTGAGATAATACATGTAAAGGACTTTGTAAACCATAAAACACCGTCAAAAAGTAACTGCTTTTTTTTTTATCATTAGAGGAAATGAGTATTAAAAATCAATTTGAATTTTGTGTTCCAGTGAGATTATAATGAAAGGTGAGACATAACATTTCTCACTTTTGTCTATATCTAGCTTGCTTGTAGGGAAAGAAACATTGAAAACAGTCGCTAACAGATGGCCCCATAACTTAGGTCTGCTTTTTGCTTGCAAATCATACTTCAAGGCAAGTTTTCATGTTTTCCCAAATAGACTTTTATTTTTTAGACTGTTCATGATAAGAGAAGCTGCTGCTGTGGGTGCATAGTTGGCTGGAAATGAAATAGTCAGTAAACCTGTTTGTTGTAGAGGCAGCTGGGGATCCTATAGGATGTATGCCATAGTCCCATAGACTCTGGGCCCAGAGTGAGGAAGACCTGAGTTCAAATTTGGCCTCAAACACTTACTGTGTTTGATACTTGTCACTTACTGTGACAAGTCACTTAACTCTGTCTGCCCCATTTCTTCTTCTGTGTAAAAAGGGGATGATAATACTAGCACCTCTACCTTTTATGGTTCTTGTGAAGAGAAAAATGAGATAATATCTGTAAAGAGCTTAACATAGTGCCTGGAACATAGGTTCTACATAAATGCTAGCTATTAGTAGTAGGTGTGTTGGCTATCTTCAGCCATCTGCTGAGACAGTTTCACCGGAGTGTGTCTGCTGCACATGCTACAGCTTTTTGGAGCCACAGGTGAGATTTCAGTGACAGGATGACACAAAAGGTGTGTGAGTAGCCCTGAAAGGGCTCAGCAAGTCCTCTCACCAGATGTATTGGTCCCTCCTGAACTCCTGGGAGATACCTATCTAAGCATATGAAGACTTCTTCTGGCTGAATGAGCGGATAAGAACAGTTTTGTTCCAGTGGCCATGAAAATGGCTAAAGCAAGCGCTGTGAAGTTTCAGAGCTCGGTCAAACATAGAAGATGCCAAGGTCACCCACTGCATCCTGAGCCATTGGTAGTAATCTTGACTTCTGTCTTGCCTCTGGACTCTGTTGACTCTGGAAGAGACATTGAGGCATGCAGCTCTGCCTCACTTAAATCTTATTCACATGCAAATCAAGACCTCACTCATCATCTACTATGTCATCCTTCCGAACTTGTATTGGACTGATCATCCACAGCTGAACCTACCTTACCCTGATTCCAGTATTGTGATGTCATTGGTCTTCTTCAAAAATGAAGGACAAACAACAACATTAGTAGTAGTGGTAGTAGTAGTAGAAGAATTTCTTTCTACTTTCATTAGGACCTAAAATGATCCAATTCCTTTTTAATCTTTTATAAAGGAAAGCCCACCCTGAAGTCTAGTTTCTTCATTGAGGCCCAGGGTAACCTTAGTTTCTCTTTTTTTCTTTTTTCTTTTTTTTAATTACTTTAATACATGTTTAAGGAATAAAACAAGCATTTCTGTAACAGTACAATAAAAAAGATGATGGTTTGTGAAACTGCAACTATATTTTGCTATTCCTTTCAAATATACAACAAAACTTTTTTCTTTTTTTTCCTACCCTCTCTTTTTTTCTGCTCACACTAATTAAATCATAGATATTTGAAGTAGTTCAAGGAGTAGAAAGTGGAAAGAAAAATTTGTTTGGAGTTTGTAGCCTGCTTTGAAAAGGTAGCCTGTACAATAATTTTTATGAGGAAGAATCAATATTATTTTACTATGCCTTGATTTGGTGAAGAGTTTGGAAGTGGAGGAAGGAACGAGCTATCTTCCTTAAGAAAATAAAGTTTACTATAAGACATAATGAGCAAGCAGGCTTCAGAAAAACCTGGAAAGACTTGTATGGATCAATGCTGAGTGAAGTGAGCAGAACCAGGAGAACATTGTATATGGTAATAGCCATGTTGTGCGATGACTAACTTTGTTAAACTTAGCTCTTCTCAGTAATGCAAGGATCTAAGACATCTCCAAAAGTCTCATGATGGTAAATGCTACCCACATCCAGAGAAAGAACTGTGGAGTCCGAATGCAGATGGAAGCATACTATTTGCCCTTTTTTTTCCCTTCGTTTTTATTTTCTTTCTTCTTTCTTGTGGCTCCTCCTATTGGTTCTAATTCTTCTTTACAACATGATTAATGTGAAAATGTTTACTAGGAATGTAAAAAAAAAAGGAAAATGAAGTTTACTAACCTTCTAGGTGTAAATGTTTCTTAAGTGTCCATAGATATAGAACAGAAAGTTTGGTATATTTAAGAATATTCATTTGTGAAGGAATGCTATAAGAGAATCATCCTAAATGAAATCCATTAGTAGTGTGATCTTTAGTAATAAGAAAGAGGCTTCTATCTGTATGGCATTGTGTTTTGGTCACTAAAACTTTATTTTGATGGAATTACTTTTCCTAAGTCTGAGTATGGTAGAAAGAATTCATTACTTTCTTGTTGTTTTAAACTATTGCATCTGAGATTTTTTAATGCATGGCACTCATTTTGGTTTTCTGTCATTCTCTTTGCCTTTGCTAAGTTTTATTTAATGGTTTCAGGTCATGGTATTTACAAAGAACCAGACAGAAAAAGAAATAGATGATATTCACAGTAAATATCGTAAGTAATGTAATTTTATTTTTTACAGTATGAACTTGGGTTACTTATTATTTTTTGGTGCAATTTTCATTGTTCATTTTAGCAGAATTTCAAAACAAGCACTTAATTATAGACCTTCAATTTTAAAAAGTGATATTATATAGCTTTTTGTGAATCTTAGTCTTAGGCTGAAGTGGATTTGATTTATCTAAAGTATTTACTTAGTTAAAGTCATCCTACTTCTCTTGTGGGTCTGTTTGACTTTCTGTTCTATTAATAATGATACTACTTTCCACTTTGTTCTTTTCCCAAAGTACTTTGTGAATAATAGTGTTCAAAAGATCTCTGTGGGAGAGAGAATTGGATTGTTCTCATTTTGTTAAATAGTAAGAGATGAGATGCCAAGAGACTTATATATAACATGAACCTGAGGTAGTATATGTCACAATATAATGAATGTTTATTAGGATAAGGCACTGAACTGCCTGTTGGCAATACTGAGCCAAAAATGAAATAGTCCCTTTCCCAGAGAAGCTCATCTTCTCCCTGAGGGGTGGAGAAGTCTGAGTGGGGGATAGAAAAAGCACATAGGTAAGTAAATACCAATAGGTATCCAGTAAGTGCAAAGGGATTTCAGGAGGAAGAGAGCACCAAGGGAAGAGGGGTAGGGATCAGGGGAAGGAAGAGAATATAGAGATTTCCAAGAGGTGGAGGTTAGGAGGAAAAAATGCCTTTTAGGACTGTAAGGAAACAGCATCTGCCAAGACATGGAGGCAGGAAATAGAATGCTGTAGATGAGATCAGTTATTATGCCATTTTGATTGGAACAGAGAACACCTGACAACTTTCAATTTTCATCCTTAGGCCATTTGATGATACTGTTTCTTAGACTAATTTCATTGCTGCTATATATAGGTCTCATATATATATTTAAAAAACATTTGTATAATTACCAGGATCATTTTTATTTTAGTTTTTTAACTTGAGAATTTCTTTTTCCTTAATGATATTTGTTGGTATGTAGCCCTACCAGGACTACCTCCTCAGTTGTTCTGTTACCGATAACTATCACATTTTATTTTGTTTTAGATTCACTTTGATTTCTAATTTCTTTCTTCTAACTTGTAACTCATTTTCACATTGCCTGCTTGCTGAACGATATTTTGATTTATTTATTTTGTTTTCTAGTTCTTGAAATTCAGTAGGGACAAATAGTAAAAGGGTCTCTTTGAGAGAGAAAACAAGATCTGAAAATACTAAATACTAGGGGTAGGGTGGGATGGAGTCAGGGCAGTTATGTACCTTGGCTAAATATAGCAGAAAAGAGTTTCAGTGAATCACAGATTGAACAAGAGCGAGCAATGTTGTACTGTTGCTAAGAAGCTGAGTATAATGTGTAATCCTGGGGTGCCTGAAAGCTTTTATTAACCATAAGGTAATCTAGGCATTTACTAGAATACTGTGCCCTATTTTCTTCTTTCCTTGCTTGTAAGAAGTGTGGAAGCTTTGATCAATGGGCCTTGGAGTCAGGATGGACCTGAGTTCAAATGCCGCCTCAGACATATAACACTTACTAGCAGTGTGACCTTGGGCAAGTCACTTAACCCCATTGCCTAGCTGAAAAAAAATGTTTGTCAGGAATTTAAAAGAATTAGGGTTTTTTTTTAATCTAAGGCACAGATGATACTGTAGAAATGACTTAAATAACTGCAAATAATTTTTTTTAGAGAATAATACTCAATTTCAGCAAGGGAATTCACATGTTGTTGTGCTGCTATGCCTTGGAGCCTAGTTAGGTTCTAAGGCAGCTCTGGACTTAGGGAGTAAATCAGTTTCTGACCCATATTTGGAGGGACCTTTGTAAAGAGAGCTGTGGACTCCTTGCTATAGCTTTGAGGAGGCCAAATTTAATCCCTTCTCCAAAGTTAATCAGCATGTGTTCTTTCTCAGGAGACATTAATCTTAGTCATCACTTAGAAACTTATGGTCTTTTAGTAAATTACTTCATCAGGGGGTTGACTTAAAAAAATCTGACATGCTCACTTACATTCTTTTTTTTTTTTGCTCACTTACATTCTACATGGCCTATAATCTTAATCCTTATGGCTTGTGCCAGCAATGATAAAAAACACAGATTTGGATTGCAAGCTGACTTTATGTTAGAACAAAGGAAGAGGATAGATTTGACTTTTTACCTTCTATTCTTTTGGCTAACTTTGGGGAGTTCTGAGAGAAATCTGAACTCAGCCCAATTAATGTTATTTTTTAATCCTTTCCATATCATTTAAAAAAATCAAGTCATTTTAGAATTAGAAAGAATGTGTTGTCATTGATAGGAAATTGGTTTAGAGAAAGGCTCCTTCTTGTCTCTAGGATAAAATACAGATTCTTATGCTTTACTTTTAAAGCCCTTCACAATCTTAGGAATAGCCAAGAATGTAAAGGATAAATTGTCTATTTTGTAAGCCATAGAAAACTATAGAATCTGTGATTTAAATTGGTGGAAGGAAATTTCCTACGTTGATCTACTACGCATTAGGAGGTAAAGTCTAGGAAGTTGCCTAAGGTATATAAAGGGTAAATGATTTGTCCGTGTCACAAAGCTAATAAGTGTCAGAGAATTCAAACCCAAGTCTTATTGACTCCAAACTTAGCACTCTGTTCACTATTTCATACTGTTTTGGTCAGATAATTCCTCGTCAAATCATCATTATAAAATGTGATTAGAGAGAAATTAATTCCTTAATCTATTTTATTAATACCTTTTGTCTTTGTATCACCATCATTTTTGGGAATGGTGAGGGTATAGAATGGTGTAGAATAGATGAAGGAACTCAGGAGGGACAGTTTCAATTTTCAGTAAAGTATCTTCATCCACTGACAGAGGAGAACCAAAGGGATAGCAGTACAGGCTTAAACTCATCTAGACCATCACCTTCGTTTTACAGGTGGGTACATGGAGGTTCAGTGGCTTCCCAAAGGTCACACTATTACTGAGCACCGTGGCTTCTGAGGTGTTTCAAAGAGGTGGGATTGTTTGTTGGAAAGAGCTGGATTTTGAGGCTGGGGATCTAGCTTCAAATCTCCGCCTTATCATTCTCTATGTGACCTTTGGCACATCACTTAACTTCTCTGGGTCTCAATTTCTTAATTTGTAGATAAGATGATCTCTAATCTTTCTTCCCAATCTAGATCTAAGAGTCTCTGAAATTCTTTTCAGCTTGACTCTTCATGCCCCACACTTCAGAGACATTCTAGTCTTTTGACACTCTAATCTCCTTTTCACTTCTAATTCAAAGCCTATGCTTTATAGAAATAAGAAGAGAGAAAGGAAAGGAAGAAATAATGGATCATGGGTAGATCCTTCAAAATGCCATTGCCCAGATGTTCTCCATCCTCTGAGAATTTATTGGAAGTGGTTCTTAAGTCACTGACCAAATTATCCTATTAGCCTGCTATGGTTTGAAGCAGCAGAGTCTAGTGGAGAAAGAACATTGGTCTTGGAGTTAGTAGAGCTGGGTTCAAATGCTGGCTTTAACACTTACCAACTTTGTGACCAAGGGGAATTCATTTTACCTCTCTACACCTTAACTTAACTATTTGTCAAGTGCGCAAAATAATGCTTGTACTTCCTAGCTTAGAGAGATAGTGGAGCATGGTGGATAGAGTACTGGACTTTGTTTCATGGAAACTGGGTGCCATTGTTGCCTCTGACACTTGCAAGCCAGACGTTAGATCCTGGGCCAGCAGCCCTTTCAGCTCACTGAACCTCAGCCAACTCACACACTAAGATGTTTTTACTAAGTTACAGGTGGTTGCTGTTTGTGGTGGTGGAGGTAATTTCCGCAGTTACAATCACAGATCCTTGACTACTGACAGCCCAAATTATGGGGTCATTGTGAGAAAAGTGCCTTGCAGACCATAATGTACTATAAAGATGTGTTGTTAATATAATAAATGTACTTTTGGATACATAGTATGTGAATAGTGGGTAGTTGGGTTTTTTTTTTTTACTTTTTGCTTTAAGAAGATCTTTATCTTTCAGGTAAAGAACATCAGAATGAATTTAAACTTCTAGTGGATGAAGCAAAAAACCGGTATAAGAAAACTGGCATACTACTGACCAAACAAATAAAGCAGCAGGTAGAGGAATCCATGGAAGAGTTATTGCCAGTAACCATTGGTAAGAAACTGTCAAAGAGCAAAAACCAAGCAGAAATGAGCACTCATTTACCATTTATATGTAGCATAAAAAAGCTTAATTTGTACTACTTGTGATTTACTGCTAAAGGTATTAGTATAGCTTGCACTGGAAATCAATTCTTTTGTTCTTTATATAAAATAATAATGTAATTATTGTGGGGATGGAATATATTGCTGAAAAATCTCAAACTTCTAATATTTAACATGCTGACAAGAAACACATTCTTTGATTTTTTAAAATTTACTCATTTTATAGTTTCAGATTAATATCTTCGTTCAATTACCTTGGCTTTGGCTAATGAACCAGACCAGATGATAAAATTATTTTATCCACGAGTATTAAATTTGGAAAATACTGATTAATAGGATCTTTGTTCAAATCTTGTCTCTGTCAATACCTCTAGGATCTTGGTCAAGGCACTTAACTCCTCCCCACACATATGTCCTTATTTCTAAAATGAAGGGATTGGATCCCAGCCTCTGAGGTCCCTTCCACATTTAAGACAGTGTGATCTATAATAATGGAATTCTGTGACCTTTCTAGCAAGTTAAAGATGTTTATTTTCTGTGCATGTTCGTTAAGTTTCTTTGTAGTCCAGAACTGGGCTTGGGAATAGTTTAGGAGTGTGTAAAATTATGTATGACATGATTTAAATACAGGCACAAAACTTTTAGTTCCTATAAGTCTTTGACCATTATTTTGTCCCCAGGAGGTTTATATGAAAGTTCATTTAAGAGTCAGAAGACTTCATCATTGAAGTACTCAAATTCTCTTATACTATAATATTTGAAGCTGAATTTCTGTGTGTTTGCCTGGAATAAGTCTGTCAGTTCATTTACTTACCTGTCTAATTGCCTTCTGAAATTCAAGCTTATTTGTAGATTTTCGTTGCCTTTATGAAAAAAACAAAACAAAACAAAACTCAAAAACAGATCATCTGGATTGTCACTCTTTTAATGCTGGACTTAAGAGTCAGGAGACCTGAGCTCTAATGTGGCCTCAGACACTAGTAGCTGTAAGACCTAGGGCAAATCATTTAACCTCTGCCTTAATTTATATATCTGTAAAATAATAATAGCACCTACCTCCTAGAGTTGTAATGGAGGTAAAATGAATAATATTGTGAAGTGCTTTTATAAACCTTAAAGCACTAGATTTCATGAAACATCAGTCTGGATAAGACCTTAGAAATCATCTAGTCTATTACCATTATTGTACAGAGCAAGGAACTGGGGCTGAAACAGCTAAAATGACTTAATTCAGAACACAGGACTAAGAACTGTTAAAACCAGAACTAATTCTTGGCATCCTGACTCCTGGTTAATTGCTTTTGTCATTACTCTATGTTGCTTCCCACTTTGTCGTCTTTTTGTAGGGTGAATGCTGCCTTGTGTTTCACTTGGTGCTGGCTATACCTGATATGTTTCTCTTTTAGAATAGAAGCACCGGGAGGAGGGGCTTTATCCATTGGCTTCACCACCTGGTCCCTTTACCAATATACATTAAGGGACTCAGTCAATTTTATATTGGTAGAGATGGTTCAGAGCCATTGAGGCAGTATCAGTTAATGCTTTTCTTAGTTGAAATTATGGGTTTTTTGGTGTTTGATGTTCTCCTAGTGTAATAAACTTTCATTATTTTTAAAAAGCCTTGAGTTTGTGGGCTCTGGCTAGAGTTCTCAGGAGTGATTTTTCTTGCCAGATCAATAATCACTTTCTTCCATAATCTTTCCCAGCTCAACAGATCCTTGAAAATCTGTGTCATGGTGGTCTTTAGTAAAGTTTGTGAAAACTTAATTTTTTTTGTGATGAAAATTTCCTTAAAGATGAATTCCATGCCGTATTACACATATAGAAACTTCAAAAAGCAATATGTAAACTTGCATGTGTAGTATTAAACTTTCTGTAATTAGCTGACAAGCAATCTCGTGATGAGATAGCACCTTAGGTGCTACTTTGTTTAAAATCAGGTTCTTTTAACTAACTTCATTGGAGGAGTTGCAGCTGTTGGAGACATAGGTTATCTTTAAATCTCTAGGCCAACCACTCTTTGTTTCTTTCCTTTCCATTCTTTCTCTTCAGCTAATGCCTGCCTTGATTTTTGCCTGGTTTTTATTAAGTTTTTCTTTTGGATCTTATTGACAACTTTTTTCCTTTTGAGGAAACTTCTTCGCTAAATACTTTGCAAAGGGAATTAGGGCCAATTTTTTTTTTTTACCCTTTTTGAGTAGAAGAATCCTCCAAAGCTTCTATTTGTGGAGTCTTCCATCTCTCTAATTGAGAGTATATCTGAGTTGTTTACTTCTAAGATTACCAGCTGAATTAAATTCTGAGTTATATTCTTAGAGCCTCCAAGAGATGTAAAGAAGAATATTACCTGGATACTTTTCTTTATTCATGTTTTCAGACTTCCTTCCACACTATTAACTGTTAATATTGTGGCTGCATCTACTGTTTATGAGATCTAGAAAACTTGGGATATGGCAAAGGTCATGGGAAGTTTATGTATGGTCCAGGAGTATGGGTGAGCCATACTGTTAATCAAATTTTCATCAATTGATAGCTATCTTGGTTCTTTAGCTAAGGAGCTTGAATCTCCCTGCCCACTTGATGTATTTATTAATTATATTTTTTCTCTTGTCTAAGTAATTCTTACTTAGGAATGTTATTATTCCAGAAGCTTCATTGGAAGAATAAGATCTTTTTGGTGGGTTGTAACTCATGTTTTGGTGATTTCATCTTATACTAAGAGTCAGGCATTATAAATGATAGCACTATAGGTCCTTCTTTTTTTCTAAATAGTAAACAAAGAGAAGATTGGAGTAGAGGTGAAAAAAATGACATCTAATTTACAGAGGACCAGGAGGCCCCTGAAACATGAGAGAGACAGTGTGTGGCATGATGGGAAAAAATGTCAGGGGTAGCCTGGGTTCAAATTCTCCCTCTTACACTTAACTATGGGAAAGTCGTCCTATAAGCTTTCAGGGCAGATGGAGCAGATCATACCTTGTAGCACCTTCTTCCAAGGCTTCTTATAAGGTTCCACTGGAGGTCTGTCTGAGGTGAGATCTGGAAAACACTTTCCACACTTTAAGGTTTTTATATTAAATGTCATCAGTATATGTAAATATAAAGTTCGGGTTGACATAACCTCACCTGTTAAGCCCAGCTACGTTTATCATCCAAGAGCAAGTCTCAGTTGGTCAATCAAAGACTTTAGACTAAATGCAAAGTATCCTTGAAAATCATTGGAGGAATTGCCCAGGAAGTCTATTCTGACTGCTTGAGGGATGTAGTAATGCCCGATGGGGCCCGTGGGAGTTTGCTGGCTCAGTCCAGTTGATTTTTGACTGTTTGGAAACAAAGTGTTAGGGGTAGATACAATGGAGACCTGAGCTGGAAAGAGGGACAGCTGTCGAAAGCAGAAAGAGAGTAGAATTGAGCTGTGACAGGGCTGGAGAGACTGAGAAGAGTCTCAGGCTCTGCATTCATCTCACAGCAGAGGAGCTGAGCTGATGCTGCCTGTTTTCCATACCTGTTTAGGGCCTGGTTGCCATTTTGGGAAAAGACTCACTTATTGCCAATGTCCCCTCCTGGTTCCTGGCAGTCAGTGGGCACTGGAATATATTTTACTGCTTCTGGTAACCTGTGTTTGGCTTCAGTCATAAAGAGGTTGGTTGTTAGAGAGAAATATAAATGTAAATTAAGTCACAGAGCCAAATATCTGCCTAAATATCAATAATTTTCCTAACTGGAGGCTCAAGCACTAGTGATTGTACTCTTCACTTTTTGTTTAATATAAACTCCCTAAAGCAGTAGAGGAGACAACCATGTGAACTCAAAGGGCCATTATATTGCCTCTAAGCTTAAAAGGAGCTAATTGTTTTTTCAGGGTATTACATTAAGAAAGAGTTTAATTTTTCTTTTAAAAAAATGTAGCATTTCTTCATGGTTTTTAACTTTTCTTTTTAGGAGGAGAGGATAGTAAACCAATACTCACAGATCTAAGCCCAGCTACAGTCCAGTTACCCCAATCAAAAGTGGAATCCCAGATAGAGATGGAACAGGATGCAATAGATGACTCTTCTAATTTATCTGAAGTTCAGGAAACTCCTCTGTTCACCACATCAGAATCAGGAAGCAGGTAATTGTAATATAAGAATTTTCTTGTAAATTTCTGTCCTTATTTCTATTCGTGGGATAGCTGGTTAGGAAAGAGTTTGAGAAATAACTTTGAGATAAAATCCAGCTGCCTGCTATTAGTAGTTCCCCAGTGACTTATCATTTTTGATAACATTCTAGTCCCTTTCATTTCCATGGGTGACGCTTATTTAAGATTAAGGCAAAAATTGAGTGGTTGCAATCAGTGAGTCCAGAGGATGACCCTGGTTTCCCCCCTAACTCCTACATTTCATGAGACTAGAGGAAGGCAAGGGGAGAAAGGTGTAGGGAGTGGTGATGACCACTATTTGGCTCAAGGAGGGTTTGTAAGGAAGTAAAAATTTGCCTTATACAAAGGCTTATGCTTTATTTTGATAGATCTATTATTTTATCATGTGGGTAGTCTTTTCAGCAAATAGTCAGTCAACAAGCATTTAGAGAAGGCCTGCACAACCTGTGGCCCATGGGCTGCTTGCAGCACAACAAAGGATTTTGGGTTGTCTGTGAAAAATATTTTTTTCTTGTGTGATTTTTCTACCAGAAGACCATTTGGACTGTCCTTCTGTGTCTGATAGTGAACAGCTTTGATAATTTTCCATTCAGACATCTCCTTGATAATGTTTTCATGCTATTTCTTTCTTTTAAAAAAAATTTAAAAAATTTTTTAAAACAATTTTTATTTTTCTCCCAATTATGTTAATACAATTTTTTAACAGTTGTTGGGTTTTTTTTAAGTTTGGAGTTCCAAATTCTATTCCTCCCCTTGCCACTCCCTGAGACAGTTAAGCAGATATAAATTATATGTGTGCACTCATGTAAAACATGTCTGTATTAGTCATTTTGTACAAGAATTCTCAAATAAAAGAAAAAGAATGAAAGAGAGAAAGCAAAAATAGCATGATTCTCATGCTGTTTCTTTCACACAGGTCATCACTGTAATATGCTAGTGCCTACTTATCGCTTTGTAATTTTGATTCTTCATCAACATTAGTATTCCAAGCTTCTCAGCCATATATCATCATTAGAAGGGAATGTTAATACTATAAAGATAGGCTTTTGTGGAATGGAGCTGATGAGACCCATGACGGTTCTGCACAATTTCCCAAATGAAATCTAGCCTAATCTCTTACTTCCTAATTCTATGACTAGCTTATTGTTCATCTGTAGTGCCTAACTAGGATTGATATTGATGGGACCACTCATCTAACTATATGTCATTTTCTTGACAATATGTATATGCATTTGACTTATTTTTTCACTATGGATGGGTAAGCCAGTGTCTTTCACATTCTTATGGGTTTCATTGAAAAGGATTTGTAATGCTGCAAGACTTAGTTTACTGAATACAATTGTCAACCTGTTAATGGGAACATTTAGAGAGTCTCACCATCAGTAGGGACTCTTTTTGTTTGGACTCTACATAAGAAATCTCTGATGCTGGCCAACACCTTAAATGAGTATGGGTGTCCCTTTTTTATACCTTGTTAATAATCACTAGATTGTTAACCAAAGTAACCTCTGTATTTATATATATATATATATATATGTATATATATGTATATATATATACATATATATATACATATATATGTATATATATATATATATACATATATATATGTATATATATATATATTGCATCCTTATATAATTTTTATTCCTACAGGATTCCTGTCTCAGGAGAACCTTCAAGGACACATTTCATTTTACCAAATTATTAAAAAAAATCAGTGAATAGAATGGCGTCTTATAGTCTATAAGATTCTTAATTGTATGATCAAAGATGTGTCTGCTATAGAAAACTATTTGCAAAAATTCTGCTTGTTCCCTTTTCATAATTTTGCTGGAGATCCTATCAATGCATTTCATTCTCTTAGAGTTTTTTTTTTTAATAAAGATGAGAAAATAGGGATATGGGTTGGTAGGTGCTGGTGTATTTTTGGTAGAATTCTTTTTTTGGTAGAAAGCATTCTCCATGATCTTTTCCATTCTTTGGGTGTCTTCTCCCATTTAAAATACCTTGAAAATCTTTCTTTGTGATTTGCCTTTAAAATTATATTGCTGCCTGGGTGTATTTCATCTATTTGGTCAGTTCCTCATGCAGACTACAGATACTACAAAGCAGAAGTCATTAAGAAGGTAGTCAGATGTGTAAAGCCAAAAGGAAGAGTTTTGATGAAAGAGAGGAAAATTGAAGATGAGGCAGAAACTGGAATTTTCATGGGAACCATGTAATCCCTATTTAAAATAGATAAAAGTAATTGTAACAGATGCCTTAGAATAATAAACCATGCATCAAATTGAGAAAAAATATTTTTAGTTCAGGGGTGTATGCTCAGTAGCTTGCTACTTTCTCAGGGCTCCTGATGTACTCAGGATGAAAGACTCAAAACAAATCAAATTTTAGGAAGGAAAATCATGGGGAGCATTACCTAATTAGTCTAAAGTTCAGCTAACAAAAAGAATATTGTATCTTATATTTTCTGAGGGAATATCAGTTAGTAATACTAGATTTCTTGAAGAATTTGGGGCCTCTGCTATAATTTTCACTCAGACTTCAATCTATTTCTGTAGCCCCTTCTTTTTTTAAAATTAAATTTTATTTTTTCAATTATCAAGCATTTAATTTTTCTCTCTCTCAAAAAACAAGTAAGGAAAAATAAAATGGTCATAAGAAGTACACATATTCAAGCAAAACAAATTCCTATGTTGTCTGTGTCCAAAAGTGTGCCATGTTCTGCTTATTAGTCCATTTTGGTTGGTCAATATATTGATTAGATTTCTTTAGTCTTTCAATATTAGTAGTTTTTACAATATTGTTTTATAGGTTAAAGCGTTTTTGTGATTCTCACTTGTGCAGTGGTTGATAACAAATCTTCCCAGGTTTCTCTGAAACTGTCCCTTTTGTCATTTCTGTTTGTTTTTTGTTTTGTTTTTGCTAGGCAATGGGGTAAAGTGACTTGCCCAGGATCACACAGCTAGTAAGTGTCAAGTGTGTGAGACCGGATTTGAACTCAGGTCCTCCTGACTCCAGGGCCAGTACTCTGTCCGCTGCACCACGTAGCTGCCCCACTTGTCATTTCTTGCATGATAGTATCCTTCTGGATCTTGGAAATGAGATCTTTATCAGAGAAACTTGCTGCAAAGATTCTACCCTCCTCCCCCCACTTCCCCCATTAACCATTTCCCTCCTAATCTTAGTTCCATTAGACTTATTTTTGCAAAACCTTTTTAATTTTATAGAATTGATTGTCTGTTTCATCTTCAGTGATGCTTTTTGTCCTCTGTTTGGTCATGAATTCTTCCCCAAGTGGAAAAGATCTGTAAAGTAATGATGTCACCTTTCATGTCTAAGCCATATATCCATTTGGAGCATATCTTGGTAAACAGTGTTGATCTAGATTAGTTTTTGTCAAATGATGAATCCTTACCACAGTCAGGAGGGTTGTTGGGTCTTTAGTTTATTTAGATGACTGTTCATTTGCTTCTGTATTTTGAGTATCTATCTGTTCCACTGATTGACCTCTTTTTCTATGTTGTTGTTGAGTAATTTCCTACTCTTTGTGACTTTCTTGGCAAAAAGCCTGGAGTAGTTTGCCATTTCCTACTTCAGCTCATTTTACAGATGAGGAAATTGAGGCAAACAAGGTTAAGGAGCTTGCCCAGAGTCACACAAGTAATAAATGCCTAAGGCCGGATTTGAACTCAAAAAGACTTCTGATTCCAAGCCCAGTGCTCTATCCACTGTGCCACCTAGCTGCTCTATTTCTTAACTAGTACCAAATCATTTTGTTGATTATTGCTTGAGTTCTGGTACTGTTAGGGCCAGAGGTGGGGAACCTGTGGCCTCGAGGCCACATGTGGCCTTTGACTAAATCCAAAGATTTGTTCTGTGACGTTTGGTACTGGAGTGGTTTGTCATTTCCTTCTCCAGCTCATTTTGAAGGTGAGGAAACTGAGACAAAGAGGGTTCAGTGACTTGCCCAGGATCACACAGCTAGTAAGTGTGTGAGGCCAGGTTTGAACTCAGGAAGATGAATCTTCCTGACTTCAGGCCCAGCACTCTATCCACTATGCCACCTAGCTGCCCCTGATGACATTAGAGTTGAAAGGGTACACATATATCATCTTCACATATTTAAATATAAGCAGTTTATCCTTTTTTTGGTCCTTTATTATTGTTCATTCATGTTTACCTTTTTGTGTTTCTCTTCACTCCTGTGTTTGAATTTCAAAGTTCCATGAAGCTGGGATCTTTTTAACAGGAATACTTGAAAGTCCTATATTTCATTAGAAGTACATTTTTTTCCATGTAGCATTATGCTCAAGTTTTGTTGGGTATGTTATTCTTGGCTGTAAGCCTATATCTTTTGTCTTCTGGAATATTCCGAGTTCTCTCCCCCTTTATAATTGTGGCTGCTAAATCATGTTTGATCGTGACTGTGGCTCCTTGGTATTTGAATTCTTCTTTTCTGTCTGCTTGCAGTATTTTTTCTTTGACCTAGAAACTGGATTTTGGTTCTGATGTTACTGGGAGTTTTCATTTTGGTATTTCTTTCAGGAGCTAACCCATACATTCTATTTCTATTTGCCTTCTGATTCTAAGAGATCTGGGCAGTTTTCTTTTAAGATTTCTAAAAATAGGATGTCTAGTCTCCTTTTTTTTGTTTATGAGGTTCAAATAGTGCAATGATTCTTAAATTTTTTCTCCTGTCTGTTTTCCATTGTTTTTGCTATGATGTATATTTTCTTCTATTTTTTTCAGTATTTTTGTTTTGTTTTAATATTTCTTGTTGCCTTGTGGAATCATTGCCTTGTATTTGGTTCATTTTCATTTTCAGGGAATTTGTTGCTTAAGTAAGGTTTTGTAAACTTCTTGAATTAAGGTCTTAATTCCCTTTCCAATTTTTTTTCATAGCTCTCATTTCCTTCCCAATTTTCTCAAGTTCTCTCATTTCATTTATAGAAACATTTAAAAATTAA